AGAATAAAAACACTTTTAGAAGATGTCTATGACGTCAGACAGAAACTTGTGCTGTAGTTTAATCTTGAACTGTTTGTCTTAGGATTGTTCAGGTCATGGTATTAAACGGTAGCCTTATAGTTCAGCTAATATGATTCGTGCTTAACTTAGCATCTATGATTTGTTTACGTAACAATATCGCTTCATTCCATTAACGTTTGCACGTTATTTTTATGATAATTATAGTTTTCTGTTTCATGCTTAGAAAAAATGCCTTCGTATTTCAAGCTTTAAACCAAACACGTTAAGATAAATCATATTTTGTTGGTAATTATAGCGTCATTGTTTGAAAACTGTGAAGTGGATGAACAGTGTACGACAAGTGGCGCCTTCTGTTCGACGAATGGCAAGTGTATGTGCGAATATGGATACCGCTACCGAAAGCAAGAAGGTTGCGTTCAAAGTATGTAGTTCTATTAGGAAAGTACTTGAGGTTTTTTCATTGGGTGTTTATTACGACATTATCATGTTCAATACTCCATACCGTTCTTTCTTCTCAACGGTACTGAGAACAATTGACAAAATCATAAAACAGGGTACTTTTAAAAGTCTTAAAAGGGGATTAGAGAGACTGTAGGTTTCCCCCGGCAGACATTAGGTAAAAAAAGTGATAAGAAAGAAACAGATATTTGTTTATTCTGTATAACACTTTTAAAATCTGAAACTAAACAGTGCATTCTAGCATATCTCAATTGTTATTATTTTATCGTAAAGACCTACAAGTCTCTGTATCTCATTCATTTTAAAACTAATTTTTTCTACCTAATAACTCACAGCAAGGAAAGTGAGGATATCTATAAATAGTTGACAATTTTTATGACTAAAAAAAAAAGGGGGCACTTTGGGGTCATAGAGGCACGAGCTTGCATCCACCCAGCCAACCCCTCTTTGTAATGGTACTATTCATGTAATCTTACTTCACAATGTCATATTTATCTTACGTTGTAAAGGTACTATTCTTGTAATCTTACTTCATAATGTTATATTTACTTTACATTGTAATGGTACTATTCTTGTAATCTTACTTCATAATATCATATTTACTTTACGTTGTAATGGTATTATATTGTAATCTTACTTCACAATGTTATATTTACTTCACAATGTCATATTTACTTTACATTGTAATGGTACTATTCATGTAATCTTACTTCACAATGTCATATTTACTTTACATTGTAATGGTACTGTTCCTGTAATCTTACTTCATAATGTCATATTTACTTCACATTGTAATGGTACTGTTCCTGTAATCTTACTTCACAATGTTATATTTACTTCACATTGTAATGGTACTATTCATGTAATCTTACTTCATAATGTTATATTTACTTACATTGTAATGGTACTATTCATGTAATCTTACTTCATAATGTTATATTTACTTCACATTGTAATGGTACTATTCATGTAATCTTACTTCATAATGTTATATTTA